GACCCCTCCGCCGGCCCCCACCCCACCTTTAAACCAGCCTAGAAGATGTATGCCCCTCACAAACTCAGCTTTGACATTCATTTCAACCTTTGTCGACATGTCAGGAACCAAACAACTGGTGGGCCAAACAACTTTAGGGTTAAATTGTTCCAACCCCCCCGCTGCCCCCCGTCCCTCCATACGCACCCTCTAGACCCCTCCTGTGTGTCCCTGACTCGAAATAACCTCAGTCTAAAAATGGTTTGGCCGTGTAGCGAAATTGGAGGGATTAAACAGACCCAATTAGGGACCCCATGTTGACCTTATTTGGTGTGACGCACAAAAGCCTGAATGTGAATGAGAGACTCCGATCACCAACTGTGCAGCTTCACATACTTTACAAAGATGGTTTACCTAACTACAAAAAAAGAAAAAAATTAAAGTTGTTTGTTTTTCAAGATTTATGGATGGATGTTTGAATCAAATAGTTTTTTTAGAAACATTTTTTTTCCGAGGAGAAGAAAATAATCTGAAAAAAAATTTGTCTCCTTTTTTTCAAGAATTTTTTTTTCCAAGAATGCAGTTGTATTTCCGAATTTAAAAAAAAAATCATAATCTGAAAAGAATAGCCTATTTTCGAGAAAAGGAAATGAATTTTAAAAATTTATCAAAAAACGTTTTTGGTTTTTTTTTTTAAATGGATTCTGTCGAGTCAGGAAGAAATCCTTTAAAGTGTCAATCTGACTGGAATAAAGAAGTCGGTTTTTCGAGAGAAAAATCTTTTGAGCAAATGTCTTCCCCGAGAATAAAGTTCCTTTTTTAGGGGTGGGAGGGGGGGGGTTCAACTGGGAAAGTTATAGTTTCCAGTAAAGTTTGCACACACATATTTGTAACCCGCCCAACAAATTTGAATCTAATGAGCGATGACGCTGCTATTCAACAAATAAAAACAAACCCAAGAATGAAGTCGTATTTATTTTATTGCCAAATACATTTTGCGCTCCCACAATGAAACAAAGATGAATTTCAAAGCCAAGACCACATGTTTCCAACAAGCAACGCCACAAATATATCAGCAGCAGTTTGCTTGTTGGGTTCCACCCAAGCGCTTAGCATAAAAATCCCGACAAACGTTGCACGCAAGACCAATGAACTGCTTTGTTTTTTTTTTAATCAGGAAGGAAGCTAAGAGTTTGCGCCTGAGAAGAAGCAGAGGTGTGGGGTCCAGATTGGGTTACCTACCCCCCCCCACACACACACACACACACACGCACCTCTCCGGATGCGCTTAGGTGCACCACAATCCTCCTAATGATGGAAAATGAACGGTCCATTGAGCGGACTTACACCCCGGTTGACGTTTCCTTGACTATTTGCAGCGCCCGGCACAGACGGACGACCTGCCGACTTGGCTAATTTGGCGCAAATGAAGCAAACACGTCAAGCCCGTTTTGTTATGATTTCCACAATGAAGGCTGGGAAAAGCAGATTGGGACCAAAAATAAGACTTGAGCTAAAATTAGCTTGTCACTCACAATGTTTATGTAACAATGGACACACAAGTCAAAATGACTGAATCTTGCATCTCAAAAAAAAAAAAAAAGTTGCAATTTGACAATAAAAAGCTTTAGGAGAAAAAGTTGGAAATAATTTTGAGACACAATTCATAGTCTTGACGAAAGGCAAAAGTCCTACTTTTTTGGAGAAATAAGCAGAACAGTGGGAGATATTGTCACAGTCATCAGTCCCACTCCCCCTCCCATATTAGTGGTTATGTCCCAGACCACCCCCGAAATGAAATACTCCCAAGGCACGATCTTATGGCAATTAATTACGACACTTTTTTTCCCGATACGGTTGCTGAATATGGAGAAACTGATGAAATGCATGTACCGAAAGAAATGACATTTTAATATCCAATAAAATAAATACTTTTTTTCCCATGCAGCAAGAGAAGCAGGCTTAATTAATTCTGAGCTAATTAATTGTAATAACTTTTTTTTAGGTTATTTAAGGCCCCTCGATACTGTTCACCAATTGGATGACGCCGTGTATTTAAGTTTGAGTCCGATAAAAAACATTAAATTCCACGCGCAACCTATCGCACGTCTTATCGCCATTATTGCAATGAAAATATTTTGTTCGACATATATTGTAGAGACCGAACACAAACACATTTAACCACATGTCATCGATGGAAAGGGGGAGCAAGGGCAATGAATAACACAAAGATATTGTACAGTACAGTGTACTTCACTTACCGTCTGTAGATCAAGAATAAGATATAAGTGATAAAATTGAATCAACCGCTGTCACTTTCTGCAGCGTTTGTTCTTCTTCTTCGTTCAAATTTACACCGTCTCAGGCACAATTTGTAAGACACTACCTAGCGGTCAAGATTAGAATTACACCTTGAATCGACGAGATTTACGGCGTGAAATATACGAAAAAAAATCGCCGAAATAGCAGGAACTCGGAACCTGTCATACAGGAGAGTTACTGTATTTTAAAAGTTGAATAAAACTTTATTTGGAAAATAAAAGTCAGAATCTTAATAGAAGAGTCCTGTTTTTCCCAATGCAGTATTTTGCTTCTCAGGTACGCCCCGCCCCTCTTCCAACATCACACACACACACACACACCAACATGTGTCTGGACTCCTCCCTGAGTTTTGACTGAAGAAAAGTTTCCGAGTGGGCCCCCGCCGGCAGTCCAGTTTAGCACGCACACGATGACGCCGGCTGTGGCTTCGGCCGCGGCGTGGGCTCTGCTGCTGCTGCTGCTGCTGACGTCGTCGTCGGCCCGGGCGTCCGGCGAGGTGTCGGACGAGCGCCAGTACAAGCGCAGCCAGTGCAAGGCCATCCCGGCCTCGCTGCAGCTGTGCCGGGACATGGAGTACAGCGAGATGCGCCTTCCCAACCTGCTGGGCCACGAGAGCATGAGCGAGGCGGTGCAGCAGGCGTCCTCGTGGATCCCGCTGGTGCACAAGCGCTGCCACCCGGACACCCGCAAGTTCCTCTGCTCGCTCTTCGCGCCCGTGTGCCTGGCCGACCTGGACGAAGCCGTCCGACCTTGTCGCTCTCTGTGCGAGGGGGTCGAGCGCGGCTGCGCGCCCGTCATGGGCGCCTTCGGCTTCCCGTGGCCCCCCATGCTTGACTGCCGAGCCTTCCCCGCCGACGACGGCGACCACCTCTGCATCCCGCCCGCGGACATCCGCAACGCCGTGCCCGACGTCGGGGAAGGTGCGGGGGGGGGGGGGGGGTCAACGTCTCTCGCACCCCAAACTCACGTTGTCGTTAAATTTTTCAGATCGGAAAAAAAGTCAGTCAAAGAGTTAAGAAAAAATATAGACATTTTTTTTGGAGAATAATTTTTCGTCAAAAAAAATTAAACAATTGGGAGTGGGGTTGCATTTTAGAAACAACTGTTCGAATTTTTAAAAAAAGTTGGGTGAATTTATCATTTCTAGGCAACAAACCAAGATAACATTTTATGTCTTTTCCCCCCATTTCACAATATTAAGCAAAACATTTTAGTCTGATGTGATTTTACAAGAACAATCTCTTGAACAAACTGGGGAAATTCTGTTTCTTTTAAACCGATAAAAAATTTTTTTCCAAAGACTGTTTCTTTTTACTTAGAAAACCAATTTTCTAAAGGACAGCTATACCATGAAAACATATAATCTCTAATATTACCCTTTTTCACGGAATTTCTCAGAATTGTGAAGGGGGTTTTAAGTCATACTCTGAAAACAATGTGGTTATTTTTTAAGAAAACTGATATTTTTTTTGAGAAAGTAATTAATGATTTGATGAGAATAAGGTTGTATTTTCACAACGGAAAATGCATATATTATTAATTTGTAAATGAGTTTAAAGGCCACATGGGAAGGAAAAAAACTGTAATACAATGAGAATACATTTATATTGTGTTTTTGGAGAAGAAATTTAAATATATTTTTCTTTTTTTTTTCACGGAAAGAAAATTATTCTCTTAAAGGAATTTATTACATTTTTCAGTAGGGGAAAAAAGATTTTGTCCTCCCCAAATTTCTTAAAAGTCACAATCTAATAAAAACGTTAGTTTCCTCCGGAAAAACTTTTCTTGGAAAGAAAATAACACTTTTTAGGGGGAGAATTGGCATTTATTAATAAAAGAATTCATGATATGAAATTGGTAACATTCAAAGGGACACTCAGCTCCTGGAAAGAAAAAAAACAGTTTTTCTGAGAGAGCCACCTAGTCAAGAGTGACTCAAGAGCTCCTATACTGGTTGCAGTGGAGTAATACATGACAGTCTTTCCATGTGGTGGGGTGTTTTGTGTTTCAGTTCCCAGAGTGTGTGACGCCTGCAAGGAAACTGATGAAAATGACAATGAAATAGTGGAGAACTTGTGCAAAAACGATTTTGGTAAGCAACGACTCAACATTGGTTTCATTTACGATTGACAATGCTTCAGTATTATTGTTGTAAAATTTTCATAACATGAGCGGTCACTTTTGTGTGCGTGTGTGTGTATGTGTGTGTGTGTGTGTGTGTGTGGGGGGGGGGTCTTGACAACAAAGCAGCTGTCTGGTCAATGGTGAACACTTCTTCCTAAAATGAGTAAAGTTTATTGCCATTCCTTGTGTGTTTAACCAAACCACATCACCTCCAAAAGTCCTCGAGCTTAATGGTAATACAGCATGCAAAACACCATAAATGGGCAAGCACAGCTTGCAAGTTGCGGTGGTTATAAACCTTCAAATAATTTATATTTTAATGGAATTGGGGATAAAAATAGATTTTAGAATGAAGCTATTTTTTGGGGAGGGGTGTTTTATTTTACTGAGAGAAATGTCATCTAAAAAGAATACAGCAGTTGTAGGAGAAATGCATTTTTTATGCATTTAAATTTTGCATAATTTAAAAAATGGAAGCTTGTCTTAGTAATACTTTTTGACATATTGGATATTTTTTGAAAAAATGAAAATATATATATATATATATATATATATATATATATATATATATGAGACATCAATGTAACTTTTCAAATGCAACCGTAGAAGAAGTAATCTCTTAATTATATTATATATGACGCGCTTCCCCGACTGGAGGCTGCCATGTTTAGGCCGCCATCTTTCTGCTACGGCTACCCGAAGGAGACAAACTTGGCCAACGTAGTTACGCAACATGATGCCAACAGCAGTGTAACAACGATCCAGCATATACTCCGTCACTTGAGCGAACACTTAAAATCGTTTGGAGCGTAATATGACATGCACCTCTTCCGAAGAACTGGTGGTAGTCCTGCGAAGCGTGCTATGTATGAGGCACCGTATTGCGCCTGCTTCAAAATGCGTGGCTGGCAGCGAACGTGTTGGTTGTCCCGATTGTAACGATGGTTCTCCTCTGCCGTTGAGCTCTGAAAATCAAAGTGAAGGAGATCTCGTACATGGACGGCGACACGCGGATCGTGCCGGAGAACAAGAGCAAGACCATCTACAAGCTGCACGGCGTCAGCGAGCGCGACTTGCGCAAGACGGCGCTGTGGCTCAAAGACGGGCTGCACTGCGTCTGCGACGAGATGAACGACATCAACGCCGCCTACCTGGTGGTGGGACAGAGGACGGACGATGGACGTCTGGTGGTCACCTCGCTCAAACGCTGGCAGAAGGGCCGCCGCGACTTCAAGAGGATTTCACGCAGCATTCGTAAACTGCAGTGCTAAAAAAATTTTTTTTAAATGACGACGACAAAAAAAACGATCGCGTGAAACTGTTTGAGCCGTGTTGCCCTTTTCTATTAGCCAGAGTGGACAAGATCGTACGAATTCCCACGTTTAAAAAAACCCATAAAATTGTTCATCCATTTTAACCATTCAGAGAGTGCACTTGTCATGTAAATATAGGTAGTGTCACCGTCACGTTAGCGCGAAAGGACGTCCCGAAAACTTTGTAAAACATCAGAATCAAATTCTTGAAAAAAAAAAGTTATCTAGAACGATTCCGAAATTCCAAAAATCGAACAATAATTTTACGCAAAATTTACCTTAAATTTCATGTCGTTTTACAAACATATATATGCATGCCCTTTTAAAATATTAAAATAGCGTACAGGTCATGACGTAAATAGCGTGAAAAGGATGCCCCGATAAGTTTGTAAAACATCCGAAACTTTTTTTGTTTTCCCGTAGCACGCTTGAACAATGCGGAATTTCCAAACCGCATACAACAAATTTTGCGCAATCCTCAGAAATACGAGATGACGGATTTGATCAAAAATGAAAAATTTGAGGGGAAAATGTTGGTAAAATTGATCAAACGTTACGATTTGTAGTTTTTTTCGAAAACTTAAGAGTTTACATGAACTTTGAAATAAAATTTCGCAAATGTTCACGCTAACATCTTGTCTGATTTTTTAAGCATTTTTTTAAGAACAATAATCGTCAGGGAGTTAAATCTTCTTCCTTGAATCCTTGGATCAAATTTGACCAAATTCTTGATTTTTCAGCTCAATTTTTTGGTTGCATTTTCTGACCATGATTTCCTTTCCTTGAAATGTTAATTTTCCAGCCAAAATGTCCAATTCCAAATTGTTGGTCTGCTGAATTGTTTGAGTTTCAAGGTTCCACTGCCAACCTCGTTTTGTACAACTTTTGAGTTTCCGGAAGGTCTCAGTTCACAAAAGGACACGTTTCCTTCAATTAATCCAGTGAAATTTTCATTGAAAAGAAATGCAAATGAAGGATGTCATTGTTGTGATCCCAATGTTTTCTCAAGCTAAATATGAGAGCTAGCTGGCTATGTTCTCCGCCCCGCCCCCACCCGATTATTTTTAGCCAAAAACTGGCATTTTCATTTTCTGACTCCATTTTTCATATTTGGTCTCCCAGCTTTTTAAGTCTACTGTTTTGTTACCTTATAAATGTTGATTTTGCTAATAACCACATTGTTGTGTGTGTATGTGCAATATTTGTTTTTGATGTTTGGTGTTGTAAATATCGACATTTGATTTTGTATCCACTTTTTTTGGAGGTGGGGGTGACATGGGAACAAACACCGAAAGATGGCTGTTTTTTTCTTCTGAATTTATGATTTACTCTTAAATTAATACAATTCATGAATAAAATTGGATTGCGTTCATTTAATTTTGAAAGAAATAAAAATGACATGTACAAGATGGCGTTCTCAATTTATTAATCCTTTGAGGGACAGTGGTTACTTCAGTGGACAGTTTATCGGGTTACAGGGTGCACGAAAGGGTAAAAAATACATTTGATTTGTCTAAAACAATCCAAATGTGGAAGCATGCATTGTTTTGTTTATCTAACAAAAATGTTAAAGGTCCCTTTCTCTTGACGTATGTGCGGCTATTGCAGAGAATAACACCCAGAACACAAGTGCACACCGTGACAACATAAACAGGGAAGTTTTATTGTTTGTTGAATCATTTTCATTCTTCTATACAGTTTCTGTCTATAAGTCCCATTTTCAACATTGATTATATACATTCATCAAATCTTTGTCCAGTCTGATTACACGGACGATATTTTGCCTCCATTCAATTTGGTGTCGAGCACATTCAAATGAAACGAAAGAAAAGCTTTCACAGTCCCCTCCTGTGTGTTGCACCGACAAAAGGAATGGCTTTGGGCTTGCTTTTTCAACGTTACAAAAAAAAAAACACATAAACATTTCTTGCTATAATTTAGTCCATAAATACAGTCGAATATATATTTATATATAGAGATATGTGTCGTTATTTACTCATAGGAATCACAAGTCATTCTGTGCTCAAAGCCAAGCTGTGCTGCAAACGTTGATGATGATAGTGCTTTTTTTTTTTTTAGTGTTTCACCCTCCATCATCAGTCCTTATTATTGAAATGTGTGTGTGTGTGTGTGTGTGTGTGTGTCGCTCATAAGTTATAGGGATGGTTGCCGTGGTTACAGCTCACGATAAACCAAGAAAATGACACAACAACAAACAAGTTCCTCCTCGCACAGGCTATTCAAACATGGAAATAAGGAGAGACACGGAATGAAAGGGCTGATGGGTGCAGACGTGTCAAGCGCGGGTCGGCTCGGGCGTCTGGTTAGAAGTTGAGCGTCTCGGACATCATCTTCCACCAGTCCATCAGCTCCTCCCTCTCCTCCTCCTTGCGCTCCATCAGAGACTCCAGTTCAAAGTCCACCTGCACAAAAGCACAATTGGAAGAAGAGGAAAGGGGACTTAAAAAAACTGCAAAACTTTTGCTTATTTGCAATTTTTTATCATATATATTTTTAAATGCATCAATATAAGATTGGTTTATTTTTTATGTATTTCAATATAAATATAAAAAACATTTTAGAATTAGTAAAAAACGATGAAATATCTATTCAATTTAGTTAAAACATACATTAAAAAATACAGTCACAAAATAATGGAATCATGGAAATAAAGTCAAATATATATTTTTACATGATTTAAAAATATGAATGAATTTATAAAAATATAAATATAAAAAATTTATGAATACATTATTTCACAAGTAGAATAAATTCTGGAACATATGCAAATTACTTTAAAAAAGAGAGAACCATATGATAGTTTCAAGTCATTCGTAAAGTATGGTACTCCCTCTAGTGGTACAAAGAAATACTGAATCAAATGTTCAAACTGTTAAAAGAGTCGAAGAGGGCTTTCAATTTTTGTTTAATTCACTACAGCACAGCACGCACTTCACTTTAATTCAACTTTAAAGTAGAATTTATCATTTAAGCTCTTATAAAGTGTTGAAAATGGATTGTGATTCACGATTTATTTCAATTGATGTGCAATACATTCGAATGAGCCCGCCAAGCTTTTCGTGTGTGGTTGACGCTGGGCTGGGTTGTTCGTACCCTGGTGGCGGGGCTGTGCGGGACGGCCACCTTCTTGATGACGCTCAGGTATCCCGGAGCCGAGGCCGCCACCTTGTAGTTGCCGGGAGTCAGCAGGCGCCAGTAGTCGCCATCTTTGGCTGCGGGGGGGGGGGGACAGCCCAAACAAACATTACAACACCAAATGTGTCCACTCGGTGAAGCCGTACAGCCATAATTTAATGGGCCTGAGTCGAGCATGAAGCACTTTGAGGGAATCAAACCGGAAGCCTTGCGGTCGCAGGCCGCATTCTCAACCGGACAAGCGTAGCCAAAGAAGCAAGGGGATGGAATAGAGGTCTGCCAAAACGTCTTATTTCATGTTTTTAAAATGGTAAATGTTGAATGAGTGAACTGCTATATTGTAGTGAATGGCTGGGTAACTGTGATCGATTTATTTTTGGTTTCGTCAGAATGACATTCGTCCTCACATGTATGAAATCCATCGCTCTGTCTCCTCTTCAATGACACACATAGTTATGGCAATGTACTTACTGTATGTATTGTAATAGTGCTAACGAAACATTAGGATCATGATCTGCATTGCAACGCTACATTTAGAGCAACCCTAGTGATCACGCCACTTTGTGGCAAAGATCTGACGTTATGTTAAGATTTGAAGGCTAAGCTGCGGCAGCCACCGTAAAGGAGAAATGCACCTGGTCGAAAATTGAACACGGGCCACTGAACAATCCATGTGCAGTGTTGGTCTCTCCAAAGGCTGTTGACCAGCACCAAGGCAAAACGTGGTCGAGGAAGGTAAAAGTGGATGCAATCATGCTATTAGGCGAACTCTTTAGGTTTCGTTTTATGTCCATACTGTTTATTCGCAAACACTTTGAAATGTGTTTTGCTAGCTTGTATGTCGGGTTGACATGGCTACCTGTGGTGACGTCGTGCTCGATGCCCTCCACAGAGATGGTGGCGTTGCTAATGGCGTTGCCCTGCAGGTCCCGCACGAAGCCCTTGACGCCGCGATGAACCTGTTTCGACACACACACACACGGAACGAGAAACGAATCGCATCGTTCTCCTCACGTCCGAAGCTTTCGTAAGCGTCTTTGCGCCCACCTGCTCGATGTAGCTGACCAGCGAGTCACGGTTCTGCTCCCAGTAGCTCTTGAGCAAATCCTCGGCCGGGAATTTGTCGCAGCTCAGCTCCAGCGTGATCTCAAAGCAGTTGCTACTCAAATAATTGAAGTCCTGCATTCCTACAACACCACCACGACAATGTTCACTTGTTAGCGTATTTTGCATTCGCTAAATTAAATAACGATGTTTTTTCTTTGAGGGGGGGTGGGTATTAAAAGCATGTATTTTCTTTTTGTCACACACAAAACATTTTTTAATGGCATCTGTAGGGCCATTTTAAACCTTTTAAGGCGGCTGTCACTGATTCATATTTATTTCGCTTGGGGCCCCCTCGCCACACCGTACTTGTGAGTCAGGATCTTGTTCCTTACCCCCCGGCACGCTGTACCAGGCGCCCCCGTTGGTGATGCCATCCTTGAAGCTGGAGTCGTCGTCGTTTTTGCGGCAGGGCGCCCGCTGCGGGTCGGACATCACGGGGTTGTACACGGAGTAGGCCTTGGCCAGCGACTTGAAGATGGCGTCGTCGGGGCTGGCGCTGTACTCGTGGGCCGAGCCTAGGACACACAAGAAGATTGTTTGCGTTTATTCATTTTAAAAAATAAATTAATAGTCAAAGGTGGAATATATGCTAGAGATTGACCACTGCGAGTTTCGTCGTAGGGGTAGTTGGCGACCACGTCCCCGCCATGCAGGTTAGCAGAGAGGACGAAGGGGATGTCCATGATCCAGCGGATCACCGCCTTGGTCTCTGGCGCCAGCTACGAATAGAAGGAGGGCAACAACGCTTAAAGAACGGCAAGGCAAGGCTTTTAATAAAATAAATAAATAAACCTCTTTCATTAATTCATGGTTCATTTACCTTTATTTTAGCGCAAGACTAAGAGATAAGGCCCAAATATTTTTGTTGAGTTTGATAACGTTGGTTGTGATAGAGATTCATTTGTTGTCTGCATTGGTTCAAAAACAAATGGGACCTTGAAAAAAATAAGACTCGATTCGCAATCGCAACAGTGAAGGGGGGGGGGGGGCAATTAAATTACTTTTCCAAATAATCCAGCCCAGATTGACGTTGATTTTCAAAATGGAATACAAATAAGAGTTACGTAGGTAGGTAGGTCCAGTGGAGATGAAAAGTCTACACACCCCTGTTCAAATACCATCGCAACTCAGGACAACAAAAGTAAGCAGCCATCTTCGTGGGGGTTTTGAAGTTTGAAAGCTGGCATTTATACGGGGGGAGGGGCGTGTAGACTTTTGCTATCCACTGTAGGTTCGTCAGTAGGTAGACCACCGTTTACTCATCCACCCTTGCGCTGATGTCTCGGCACACCCTTGACCCACCTTGGCGTTTTCATCCACAGACTTCTTCATGTTTTGCAGCAGATGGTTGTTGGCTCCTCCCTCTCGTTCGTTGACGTAGACGATTCTGTCCAGGTCGGGGAAGTTGCGGTTCAGGTCCACCCCCTGAGCGTTGGTACGGCCCACGAACCAGTCCTTCATCTCTCCGGACTGAACACAAGACCGAACACTGTGGCTTAAGGCGCTCGCTGTCAATCAAAGGCGCGATCGACTCCCCGGGCCGAGGTCACACCTGCGAGGCGGCTTTCTCGAATCCGTCCGGGTTCATGGAGGGCATGAGGTGGATGCGCGTGTTGTGGATCAGGTCTATGATGGTCTCGTTGCCCTGCTGGTATTGGTTGCACAGGTACTGCGCCAGGTAGACCAAAAGCTCCCGGCCCACCGCCTCGTTGCCGTGCATGTTGGCGATGTACTTGAACTCCGGCTCGCCTGCGCATGCCAACATGTCAGTTTGATCTGCTTGAAGTCAAGCGCACTTGGACCGTAGATACGCACACGACTGTTTGCACCAAATTAAAATGTACCCCCCGCCCCAAAAAAAAATTAGCATTTGTCAAGTTGTCTCACAATGAAGAAATTCCCAATTTACAGCAGCAAAGTTATGAAAGGAAGAAAGTAGAAGAACAAAAATTAGAGGAGCTGCTGTAAAGGCAGCTCCTAGAAAGGCAAAAATCAGAGGCCTGTAATAAGTGTTGGTTCAAATTTGAATTAATTTTATTTTTTTTAAAGGAGTATTTTTAAGCAAGAAACATGGAGTCACTGCACATGATCTACAGACAACATAAAATGATGTGGCAGGCCGGATCTGGCCCCCGGGCCTTGAGTTTGACACCTGTGAGTCACAAGGTCAGTCCGTCAGTCAGTTTGTTTGCGACTTAGTTTGTCAGGCAATTAGGTTAGTAGGCGAGTCGGCAAGACCGACCGCTCAACGCTGTGTCCAGCGGTGACACGCTGACTCGTCAGCGGGAAAGGTTAAACAGGATTGATCGTCACGGGGACGATCAGGTTGAAACGAGCGCACACACACGCACACACAGGGGATTTCTTGGTTGAGATCAGGAGGAGCAATAAGGTGTACGACGGAATTGTGGAATTTTTTTTTGTTTCCATGTCATTCCTGCACAACAGTGACACAGGAAAAAAAAAAAGCGGAGGAAAAAAAAAAATTCCACCTTGCGGAGGCAATATCGAAGCCATAATAAACATTTGTGTGTGAGGTTTTTTTTTCTACTATGACAGATCACACCAGATGCTGAGGGTTGTAATGGCGGGATGCAGTGTTGCTGTGTAAAAGACGGATGAATGTCGGGTCTTCTATGACGGGCTGCCTGCATCAAAGGCACGCGCAGTGACTGTGTTGGGTTTTGGAAGCCTTTACAACTAATAAGGAAGTCCCAGTGGATTCTTGGGTGTGTAACACACACGCACACACACACACACACACACACACACACACACACACACACACACACACACACGTGCGCCACACAAGCACAAAATGGAGCACATTGGGCGCTCAGGTTGTTTTTAAAGCCTTCAATCTGGCTCTCGTTATGACTCGCTGCTAATGATTTCAAGGCTCTAACTCTTGACATCCTTGTGTGGGTTGGGTGGTTTTGGTGCAGGGGGGGAAAGTGTGGGGGGGGGGGACTGCGTCAAACACAGTGAATATAAAAAGTTCACACACCCCTGTCGGTTGTTGTGATCTAAAGATGGTGGGACTAAGAGAAGCCATTTCAGAATGATTCCACCGCTGCAACTATTCAATATTTTTAAATGTGATTATTGCATCACTTTTTCGGAGGGGGATGTGTATGGCTTTAAAAGGTGGGGCATGGCCCGGTGAGTGACGTGGGTGTCAGTGAATGAAAGTCGAGTCGGCTGCTGCGGGCTCAGGTTAGCCGCTGAGCGTTAGCGCTTGGCTGTTAACGAGCTAACCCGTTTGCCAGTCGGGGGATTAGTTGTGGCCCTTGTGTGTGAAAGTTAATTTTGTTTATTTTGCGACCAAAATCCCGATTCATACAATCTGTAAGATCATATTTTTCAACGTCTTTGTCGTTTCTACAGAACAGGATAAAAGGTGGGGCAAAAGGAGCACATGGGGAAAAGACGGGAAAAAAATAGCAATTCCGCCTTCAGAAGCTGTTGCAGGAGATACTTTCACTGTCAAAAAAAACCCTCAAAAACATGTTTCCATCTTCTTTGCCATCGATACAGAGCAGCAGCATCGAAAAAGGGAGGTCAACCACCATATACATTCTGCTATGTGCTTTTGTGACACACTACATTATCTATTACGTACAGACCAAAAAGGTCCCCATAAGGTTTTGCAGCTGTATCATATGTGTATTGTCTAGTATGTGGCTAATATGTCAGATCAGGTGAGTCAGCTCTTTACTGACGTGTCATTCAGTACACGGCGGCTTGTCATTATGGTTTCCGCGGCGACGACGTAATGACGTCATTAGGGAGGGCACAGTGGGAATGGCGGGTGCCCGGAGTTGCCGTGGCAATGATGAAAGGGTAGAGTGGGTTGTTAGGTGACCGGCGGAAAACACACAGTGTGTTAACACGCACGCACGCAGGCGGTACCAAATGGAATCGGCCCCTTTCACACTGCCTATAAGATGTTATTTTTCCTCCTTGCCCCTGTCACACTAACTGTACTACTGTTCGGTATAAATGGCGCAGATATCAATTTTCCACCTTGTTCTGAAGCCCTTTTCACACTGCCCATACGGGAACGTATTTTTCCGTGTTGGGGTTCGGTATAAATGGCACCCACTTGGAAGTGGAGGGATTCGATGCTGCAATATTCCGCATTTGGAGTATCAGTATCAAAACTACAACGGGAATCTCCATTTTTTTTCTAACTCATTTTGCTCCATCAAATGCCAAATTGACTTTTCCATTTTTTTATTTTTTTTAGTCGGAATATGAAAATGCCAAATGCCAATACAAATCGGGGGGTGGGGTGCATACGTTTGCCCGTGCGCCGAGGTGGGAGAGAACAGTGCGCGACTGCGCATGTGCGCAGCTTCTGAATAATAAATAAGTTCTGCCTCCCTTCTCATCCTCTTTCATCCGCCCCCCCTCTTCTTCTGCATCATATTATGAGAAGGCATGTTCATATTTGATTCCTCTCGTTTTCCATATGTCATTTGACACGCACATATTACACATCTGCATTTGTGCTCACACGGAGATGACTTTCTTACGTCAGACACCGTTTAAAAATGCTCATGCCAGGAACAAGGCGGGCTCCCCCAAGAGCCACAATGAATCCTACTTAACTTCTTCTGGTGGTTCAGTAAATGAGCTTCGTAATTGATGACTCTCATTAATTTATGCCTAATTCATCATTCAATAAAATGACTTGTATATCAAATGTCTAGTGGGTATCAAGGTCTCGCTTTTTTAGTCAGCCCTTCAAATACAGACTCATCCTCGAGACTCCATCTGCTTACTACCAAATTTGAACCGCATATGCGAACGCTAACAGCACATTCGGAAGCATTTTGCATTGCTAGTGGTCTTCTCTTCCGATTGATAAGCGGAGCATTAAGGCGCTCCTGCTAAATTGAAACACCACAGCTTGTAGCACACTGCGTATGGTTGTCACGTAATGGCGCACGGAAGAACCCGCTGACAGATGGCAGCTTCCGAACACATGCGGGATCGGGTGGGCGGCGGCGGTGGATGGGATGAGTTGGGGGTTGACGGCCCCCGAGCCAACCATGAGCCGGCGGTCGGCTCAGAACGGCTAAGCCGATCTGTTGCCACGGCAACCGCTATTTCCGCCCTCACCAATGGCAGGTACCTTGAGGGGAGCTTTAAATTCACGGCCGCAATGTTTTTGTTGCAGCCACATTAAGGCAAAGACATCTGGTAGCAATAGAAAAAAAAAAAAAAGCTTCACAATGCTACCACACTTTCATGAGCTTATTTTATTTTATGAGCCGGTGCCTGCACACAGGACTGAACATCTATAAATGTCCACTAAGCCATGTTTTAATTTGGTTTGCTGCTCTTTCCTTGGATTGTTTAGCATTTGAATAACACACTAAATTACAAAAATCGGCGCCCCGTTGTTCGACTGGTTGGCGGGTCGGCCTCACAGTGCAGAGGCGCAGGGTTCGATTCTGGCTGCGGCCTTCCTGTGTGGAGTTTGCATGTTCTTCCCGAGCCTGCGTGGGTTTTCTCCAGGTACTCCGGTTTCCTCCCACATTCCAAAAACATACGTGGCAGGTTGATGGAACACTCTAAATTGTCCCTAGCTGAGATTGTAAGCGCAGATGGTTGTTCGCCAAATGTGTGCCCTGTTATTGGCTGGCAACCAGTTCAGGGTGTACCCACGCCTAATGCCCAAAGACATCCGAGATAGGCTCCAGCATGGCTGTGACCCTCGTCACGACAAGCGGTTCAGTTCATGGATGCATTGGTGGAAATGATTAGCAAATTCTTGTTAGCGGTAAGATTGATTGAAGAATATATTTTGGAGATGTCAATATATCATTAGAATAATTAAAAATAACATTTTACAGAGTGATCTATAGATATGTTTTTACTTAAAACAACAACAACATTATAATATAATAATAACAACAACGAAAGAAATAACAAAATAAAACTGTGTTGGTGTGAGACTCATTTGTATTACTCTTTATGATGAGTCGCTATTATTTCGTCTATTGGCGTGCCAGCCATAACTGTCGTGTTTTAACAATCGCTGCAACCTGCTTGACTTCACAATGGCGCAGCAGCATCGCCGCCTGCGGCTTGTTCCAAGGCTACAATCACGACCACGGAACCGCATCGATCTGCAAAATGGCGTCTGAACATTGCGACTCTTTCCCTTTTTTTAAGGGGCGGAGGGGGGTGATGATGGGGAAATGCCCGCTTTTACGCACGGCTCCCAAACACATTTAACACCTCACAGAACGAGTCGCTCCAATGTCACACAACCGCGACACGCGGAAAATAAAACGGACTGACCCGGTTCGTGCGCGCCGGGGTTATCGGACATCTCGAGGACGAGCAGCTCGCGGCCCTCAAAGCTCTCTCCGATGGTGTAGATACGTGCGATGGTGGGACATTGCAGCCACACGGACACCAAAGCCTTGCGCAGCTCGTCGTAGCGGTGGTACTCGAACGAGATGTCGCCCTCCGCGGACAGCGCGCGCGACGTCGCGCACGCCAGCACCAGCAACAGGAGCGCCTTCATGGCCGTCGTGTAACGGTTGGCGTCCTGCGGTCCAAAATAAAAAAGGAGGAGATGGATGCTGCGGCTCGCTGCAAGGATGAATGGTGGGTGTTTCTTCTTCGTCTTCCTCCTCCTCCTCACTTGGTCGCTGCGAGGACGCTTACCTGAGTGAGGCGGTGTCAAGTTCAAAAGCAGCGGAAGAGCGCGTCCGCTGTGAGTTCAAAATAAAAGACAAGGAAGAGGCTTCGCGACGGTGGTTTGAATGGCACTTTGTGCGAATCCGCCCCGTTGGTCTCTTTATAAATACGCTGGCTAAACCCCGGTGGAACGAAAAAAGACGTGGACAGGACAGCTATTGTTTGTAGAAAAATATATATTTGGATAGAGAAAGAAGAGAAACATATAGATGACTGGAGAGAGAGCGTGTCCGTCCGACCTCAAGCGTCGTGTCGTGCGAAAATTCGCAAATAAGGCATATGGATTAATTTTCTTGATGAGCGATAACTCATCACAATAAATTGTGACTTTTGTTTGTTTCAAAATGCTCGGGTTTACAACACTGTGAAAAGTGATCGGAACTGGAAGAAATTCCTTTAGTTTTGCTGACGGCAAATAATCACGTTTTAATGTGAAAATGATCATCACGAAATTTATTACGAGATGCCATTTTTTTTTCTGGTGTGGCCGCGGTCGTTTGTAGCAATAAGATAGTAAAAGCAAAAAAAAAACCCCAAAACAAAACAAAAAAAAAAAAACAAAACTAGAATCCAGTGGATTACATTACACTCCATAAAAGGATGTCAGATTTTTCCTCACTTCCTCTTTGGTAGCTGCTGCTGCATGCTGATCTGACGAAGGAGTGTGTGTGTGTGTGTGTGTGTGTGTGTGTGTGTGTGTGTGTGTGTGTGTGTGTGTGTGTGTGTGTGTGTGTGTGTGTGTGGCGTCCGTGGGACATGGCCGCAGGGGTGTGTCCTCGGTGCAGCAGTGGACTATGTTCAGTACATATGGGAAAAGAACATCGAAAAATTCATATTTTTTTTATTCCAATATGAATACAACAAAAATATCTCTAGAGTTTCTTTGTGGATATATAAAAACTGGATTACTATATCTTCTGGGTAGAAGCTTACAATTGAAAGTGCTAAGTCTATACAGAAGCATTTCACACCTCTCACATATCGTATTTCTTCAAATAGTGGCTGTCCCTGCACTCCATACAAATAAAAATGAATCCCTGCGCGTCAAAACAGCAGTGCCCATGGAGGCACATGTGCTGTCATTCTGACTTTGCTTTTAAAAACGTTTTTCTCCGTCATTTGTGGAAAAACTCACCAATATGCTGTTTTCTTTCTTTTCTTATGCCTTTCAAGTCTAACATAAAAAAATGTTGCTTTGGCCCCATCTGGTGGCATCTTGGTGCCAAGCAACTATGTTGAACTGAAGGAAGGAGCTTCCTTGCAGATTTGCGGCAGGGCGCGGTTTGCGGTAACATTGTATTTATAGCTTGCAAAACCTCCTGGCTTATCTGCAGTTAAGCAACTAAGTACCACAACTTGTAGAAGTACTAAATAATAGGGCCTGTTATCAGAATTGAATTCTGCCAAAATATAATCGGCATCAATGTAAAAAAAAAAAAAATCCCTATCGGTCGGGCCCTACTGTATAATATTTAAAGACCAAACAGCAGCCACAAAAAGAGAATATTCATGGTTGTATTTCTGGCCAATGAGAAGACCACAAGTCACGCAGTGCGAAAAAAAAAAAAAAAGTCACATACGTGTAATTTGGCTTGAACCCGGATCAGACTGTGGACATTGTGTTGCTTTTACTGGGTCTTCTTGTCGCCTCCTTCTTTCTGCATGTGCTTGTTGTACTGGTTGTCGGTGTTGAACAGCTTGTCCCACCAGGTGAAGGTAGAAGCGTAGTTGCCCACAAAGTTCATGTGATGGAAGTCGTGGAAGCGGGCGCCGGCGTAGAACGGCAGCAAGTGCAACGGGTTGACCGGGATGTCGTACCCGCTGGGGATGGCAAAACAATTTTGATGTGCTTTTGGGTTTTTTTTTTTTTGCGTTTGCTTGAATGAGATCGGTGCCACCCCTTTTTCCTCAGCACGTAAGGTTGCGGTCAGACGAGTACCTGTGCACGTCGATGGTCTCCAGCAGGCGCACGGCCACCCAGGCCCACAAGAAGAAGACGTGGTTGCAGAAGATCATGATGCCGATGAAGAAGCCCGCCCCCAGGATGATGGTCTCGGCGGGGTGGGCATACTCGGCCTGCATGCCAAACGGCGCCTGGTGGACAAATAAACGTGGGCACCGGATCAACGGGGTCGTCGGATGTGAAATTTATGTGTGTGTGTGTGTGTGTGTGTGTGTGTGTGTATTTCTAAGACTCACGGTGAACTCGTGGTGGACTTTGTGGATGTGCTTGTAGATCCTGCGGTGGTGGAGAAGTCGGTGGAGGAAGTAGTGCCACGCGTCTTCCACCACGGCGCAGCCGAAGCACTGAGCCACGATGTACGGCCTACACGCACGCATGCACATCAGCGTTAGTATCATTTTGAATCTTTCATACGTTTGGGTTTTTTTCTGGCTTTTTAAAATTTTGTTCATTTTAAAGGGGGAAGTCGAGTCAAAAACTTTCTGGACAATATGTTCGATACATCTACTCTGGAGGCAAAATGCGACCATTTAGGGGCTCGCAAAATGTAAACAGCTGTGAGGCCATTGTCACATGCACGTAATATAAACATCCATCCATCCATTTTCTGTTCCGCTTTATCCTCACAAGGATCGCAGGGAGTGCTGGAGCCTATCCCAGCCGTCTTCGGGCAGTCGGCAGGGGACACCCTGAACCGGTTGCCAGCCAATCACAGGGCACACAGACGAACAACCATCCACGCTCACACTCACACCACAGGACAATTTAGAGTGTTCAATCAGCCTTCCATGCATGTTTTTGGAATGCGGGAGGAAACCGGAGTACCCGGAGAAAACCCACGCAGGCACGGGGAGAACATGCAAACTACACACAGGGAGACCGGAGCTGGAATTGAACCCGGTACCTTAGCACTGTGAGGTCGATGCGCTAACCAGTGGACCACCGGGCCACCACAATATAAACATCATCCTGATAATACACTCGATACAAACATGAACATACAACAACACGCTCCACGTAAATATCACTGACCATCGCGGCATGGAGTCCCAGTCGTAAGGGATGTTGAAGAACTCGGTGAAGTAGTATGTGCCGCAGATGAGTGGCAGCTGGATGAAGAAGTGGTTGAACAACAACATCTTGAAGCACCGCCACTGCTTCTCCCATGTCTCTGGCTTGTCCTGTGCACGCACGCACACACACAGTAATCGCAATTCACAATTTGCAAATTCGCCTGTTTTGTTTGTTTTGTTTTTTTTTCTGTGGAAACTGTCCTTCATTTTTCACAAAAAAAATATTTGCTGTTTTGTGTTCAGCCCCCCAAAAAGAAAAGCATGGGCAGCTGTGCTGATACAGGACCTAGGCAACTTGCTGTGATTGATGGATCAATGAATTTTGCTTGTTTCCAGAAAATCCTGAAGGAGAATTAAAAAAAGTACACTTGGGTTCTGCAGCAGAACTCAAACCATTCAATATACACCAAGTCAACTTCTTGAATGGCTTTAAAAAAAGATTTTGGAGTGGCCTAGTAAAAGTTCAGACTTGAATTCAATTGAAATGCTGTGGCTTGACCTACAAAATCCCATTCATGCTCAAACACACGTCAGTGTTGCTGAATTTAAGCAATTCTGCAAGGAAGAGTGGGCCAAAATATCTCAAGAGTGATGTGGAAAATGTGCGAAATAATGCAAGACAAAATAAAAATTTGAGGAAAGAGCAAATATTTTTTGATGGCACAATACTTGTTTGCCCATATGAGACGAGCATGCTCGTTAATAGTATTGATGAACCTCACGTGAAGGTGGTTCGTTTGTGTTGAATAATTTAACGAACGCGTATCGTCGCTCATGTAACATAGTTTCATGATTGTGTACAAGCAAGATGCATGGTGTTGATGCTTTATGATCCTCGCTGTTCAGTGCTTTGCTGCAATCTTGTTGAATCTTTACGCGTGGTGTTGGTGCTTGATGATCCTTTCCATTCTAGGTTGCTTTGGCGCCATCTTGTGGAATCATTTTGGAACTACACAATGCTTTTAGAGGGGACAGGAGGGCACACTGACCGGCTGAATCTTGTACTTCTGCATGAAGGGTAGGAACTGGAAAAGGAAGCCAGGGAGGCAAAAGAGGAAGTAGATCAACTCGTGCACAATGAGCGAGCCCCAAGTGGCGATCTGGAACTTGGTGTAGTTGTTCAGCATGCAGTCCCACGCGTGCTTGAACGAGGGCTGCAAGGGGTTCCCGGGCAAGAACGCATCGACGTACTCCGCCGCCAGGTAGGCCGAGCTCAAGATGTTCGCAGTGCCGTTTACCTCCATGACTTCGACGTAGAGAAACAGGCTACATTAAGAATTTTATTTCCTTGAGAAAAAAAATCTGACTTTAGTCATAATACATTTTTCCTTTCTAAAAAAAACACAAATCTGTCATCATCGGTTTACATCTTTTTTCTTGGTATGGTAATGACAGTATGTTTAATTGGGATTAGGATTAGGATTGTAATTTCCTTAAAAAATATATTTGTATTCGGTCCCTGGAACGAAAAGGTTTGACAGCTCCTAATTTAGTTGACACATTAACCATCATATTGTCTGACCTTCGTAAGAGCTGCAGTATTACTACTCAATACAAAATAAACTGAAAAACTATTTCCGAATAAGATAACGTGACAAAATGACCTTAAATACACATAAGAAACGCAAGTATTGTGGTTACTTTTATCAACCTGCTACGATAAGATGACCATTCACTTAACGTTGCGCCGTATGATAGTCTAAAATACATTTTTGTTCATAAATTACATGGCAGTGTAACTTAAGATCATGATTAATAACTTTTGACAAGACAAGGATACTAAAAGATATTACAAAAGCAAATAAACATGAGTAATTAATAGAAAGACAGAACAGATTTATTTATTTTAATATAAACAGATGCACACTTGGGTTTTCTCCCAAATTAAAACACGTTTTCCAATTTAAACAAAATTGTGACGTTCGAAGACATTTATTTTCTTAAATAGGCGGTTAAACCAATTTCAATGCATTTTAATTACGGTAAGAAAAAACGTGACGTCGGTGTAAAACGTCATTGAAGTGAAAAGTTGCCTTTTCGTGCAATATTTAACGACAGTAAATTTGAAAAAAGTTAAAATGAATCTTTTCATTACAATGGCTTTTATGAAGTTAGCGTCTTCCCTTTGAAACTCTGTCGCACTTGTAAACAATCCGTTTGACCATTTTTTACAGCAAATATTTAACTTTTAATGACAAATTCGGGCTAAAGTGGCTGCTTTCCACTTCAACTAGCGGTGCCCGTAAGATTATTCATTTCAACACGAACGTCACCAGTTCGTGACATTATCATTTGCTTTAGTCTTTATAAAATAAATAAACGTTTAACAGTTTAGCTAACTCGCTTGTTAACATTATTAGCACTCACCTCAGCACTGGTTTCTCTGGTGTGTGTGTGTGTGTGTGTGTCTTGTACCTGGTGGGGTCGCGCGTCAAATAGTCGAGCGAGCAGCTTTCCGATTGGCTAACAGGTAGAGCAGGCCGACGTCACGGGATGTAGTGACGTCTCTGATTGGTCGACCACATGAAGCGATGATAGTGAGACTCGCGGGTCTCCACAGCGACGGCCAATCAAAAGCCGAATGGGACTTTCATAAGGTTTTCATTCGTGGGGAGGAGGTTGAGCCTCAGACAGATGTGCTAATTACATAAGTCGCCAAAATTAATCAGAAGAAAAAGGATCTATTTCTTTGATAGAAATGACCTATTTTTTACTGAGAACAAAAAAGTTTGAGAGGGCTAAAAAATTACACTTTATCAGAGACGAGGCATATTTGGGAGAAAACTCATAATCATTGATTTTTGAAGAAAAAAAAATTAGTAAGCCTTTTTTATTATAAAAAAAACTTTGTTTTTAAACGGGTATTTTTTAAATTACATTTGTTGTTGATTTTTTTAATCAATTTCATCAAGAATAGAAAAATAGGCTTTAAAAAAACAGGACAAACCATTTAAATAGTTTACTGATTTGGCAAAGATTTTTAAAAACAGCTCACTGTATGCAATATCACAGCTTTTTCAATTTAAATACAAGAAGCAAAGGATTTATTAATAATGCTCTACAAAACATGTAATGAGAAACATAGTCAAAGTTATTAAGCTGACAACGATAGTCCTCGTTATAGAGTTGACGAGGAGGGGAAGAAAAAAAAAAGCAGCGAAAGCAGTCAGTAAAAAAAGGGTCGGATGGGGGCAGAGTTTGGTCACTTGATGGAATTAGAGAAGATGCTGTAAGATTGGCACATTCATCATTCGTCAGTTTACTGGGTTAGCCAACCCGTAGGGCAGTTGGCCTCAGGGGGCATGCAGTGAGTAAACATGACTGCCGGGCAACAGTAAAGCCCATGCAATACTGTCGGTCTTACTCAAACCAGGAGATAGCTAGCTAGCTAGCACCCTTGTTCAGGCCGGCGTGAGTTTGGCAATCCTCATTGCTAAAGCTTCTCTTCTTCAATTTTTTTTTTTTTAACAGAAAAAAAAAACTTAAAGCCTTTTTGTTATATAACAACAAAAAAGTTGGATTTTTAGGCAAAGGGTTGAGGGGGATTTTTTTTTTGTAGAAAAACGTTTTTAAAGAGGCATATAGTGTTATTTCTTAAAAGGAAAAAAACTCAGGTGAACACGAGTTCTTATTTGGGGAAAATGTATAAAAAATGAAGTCATTTCTGTTCATTTTTGGGCCGAGCGGCATCACAATCTGAAAAAAAAAAAAAAGGTCTTAGATTTCTTTTTTTCCAAGGAAAAAAGTAAAAGTTGAAAAAATATACTGGTATATATTTTTGCAATGGAACATTTAGTTTTGAGGGGGGTGGTTTTATTGTAATTGATAAAAACTCAAGGAAAAAAAATGCCATATTTTAATAAAAAAAAAATCATCTTGACCCCAAAAAATTGGAGCAGTTATTTCTTCCAGGAAAAAAAAAACATTTTACTCGAAAGCTCAAATTTTCAAGAATAGGATCAAACTTTGAGACAGTCATTTTCCACTGAAAAACGGCAATGTTTTGCCATTTTTCAGCAGCCAACTTTTTCTGAAGTAAAATTTGAGGAGGAAAAAAATGTCATTTCTGAAAAAGTTGTCTATTTGAGAATAAAAAGAAGCCTAAATAAGAACTGCTTTTTTTCAATTAAGACTTCTGGAGGAAAAAAAAAAAGACCAATTTTATGAGAAAAACTCCTGTTTTGAGGCAGGGGGGGGGGAACTCCGATTTTCTATCGGGTGCACCAAAAAATGTTCCTCTGTAGAAACAACAACAAACTACTCTATTTCGCCACTATGTCCACAAAGAGCGCAAAAGGCATCACGAAAAGGAAGGAGGAAGCAGCCAACCGTTTTAACATTCAGGCGCGCTGTAACGCTCTCCAAAAAGATAAGCGGCCACGCACAGTGCATTCATGCAGCCGTCGACTTAAAATGTACACAAACAAAAGCATAGATGCACGCGAACAGGGTCACGAGCAATGGCGAACCTTTGAGGGCAAGCGCACAAATACGCACAGAACACTCCAGCGATGAGAAGATTTTCATAGTCCCACTTCTAGAGCAGCAAGCTCCCCTCCTAGTAAATGGTTAGCACTTTTAGTAGCTTCATGTCAGTAGTCATTTGGCGGCTGTGTCTGGCCGCCCAGCCCGCCGCCACCGCAGCCCCTTCGGTGGCCTGGCTGGGCCCATTTGCCCTCGACGGGATTAAAACACAGTCTCAAACCCTCCCCGCACTCACGTTAAGTGCAAAAAAAATACAAACAATCTTTCCGGTCGCCAACATCATCACCTTCGTCGCCGTGGCCTCCGTCTCGCAACTTGTCGACGCGAGTGACCAACGTGCAAACGTCGCGGGAGACGACAGATCCCCACGTGAGAATTCGGTAGGATGCAACTTCTGCTTTTAATCAGCGGCAGGCGGTGCCAGCAGTCATAAGGGCTTGTCGATCACCGTCACACCTGTTGATTCAAACCAGTCCGAAAATAATTATTACATGAGAAAAAAAAAATCAAGAAATAGAGGAAAAACAAAAAGTCATACGGTTTTACCCTGACAGTGTTAGCTTTTTTCATGAAAAATAGTGCTCCTTCAAAATAATAAAACAATAACAACATTGCATGTTTTTAAATCCAGATTTTTTTCGAGCAGGGATTTCTCAGTGTGGTACGCGTACCACTGATGGCACTTGGGCTTCCTCTAGTGGTACAGGAATGAATTACATCCAGAGTATCGTTCAATTGTATTCAGTTTCTGAATTCAACTCTTTCGTATTTTATCTTCAAGTCATGTTTTTTAATTAAATTATTGCTGAAATACATTTTCTCCCAAAATTCTCAAGTTTTTGCTTTTTGACCTTGTTCCTGTAAGACACAGGTGTCGAAGTCCGGTCCTCGAGGGCCGGTGTCCTGCATGTTTTCCATCCCTCCCTGCTGCAACACACCTGATTCAAATGATCAGGATCACTATCAGGCTCCGATAGAGCTTGCTGATGAACTGATCATTTGGATCAGGTGAGCTGCAGCAGGGAGGGATGGAAAACATGCAGGACACCGGCCCTCGAGGACCGGACTTTGACACCTGTGCTGTAAGATGACGTGTGATGTGTTTTCCAAACATGACGTTTAAAAAAAAATATATATATTGGCTTTCAAAATCTGTAACATCTGACTTAAAAGACATTTATTATGTATGGAAAGAACAGAATCTTGGGAAGCTTTGTATTTTATTATTTTTTAATGACATATGTGTTATGGACTACAGTATATGCATTTGCACCGGGATGTCATCTGGAGTAAATATAAACACATTTTATAGAATTGTCTTAACATGGGTATGAATAGCTGGGAGCTGGTCCTTTGTAATCGCGGTGCCTTTTTGTGTTTGTTGGTGCAACCCACCTGCATAACTGCGTCCAGTGCTCATGCAGCTGGGCACCAGCGTCCATTTGTCCGAGTTGGGGTTGTAGAATTCCACCGAGGCCAAATTGCAGCTGCCATCATCACCGCCCACCACATACAGCAGGTTGTTGACAGCACACACACCTGAAATAAACACTTATGATCATCCCAGCGTGCGAGATGCCGTTTTGTCAGCGCGCTCTGGAAAGACTTGTGAGAATTGATTCTCAACTATCATTCATGACATCCGTGAACTAATACACTCTTTGTCCTCACTCGTTGTCAACGGCTAGCCATCGCGAGGCACTAGCCCCGCCGGGCTCACCTGCGTTACGACGACACATGTTCATATCGGCCACCTGCCGCCAGGTGTTGGAGGCCGGGTCGAACACTTCGCAGCTCTTCCTCACCAAAGGGCCGTCATGACCGCCCACGGCGTACAGAAAACCTTTCAGCACGCCCACGCCTGGCACAGGCAGGAATCGAAACGATTAAGGGGTGAATCCCCCGCGGCAGGAAGATAAAGGAGAAACACCCACCGGCGCCACTGCGTCGCGTGCCCATTTCAGCGATGTAACTCCACGTGTTGCTTTTAGGGTTGTAGGCTTCCACAGTGCTCAGACATTGTCTGGTGGCGCCGTCGTAACCACCGACGGCATACAGGATCCCTGACCGATGCACACGTAGAGATGTAAAAAAATGTAACAGTTAGTGCATCAAGATTTCATGCCGCAATTTCTTTTCTCTCTCCTAAAATCTTTGCAAAATGCAATCGTTTTTTGAAGAGGATAAAGAATATATGCATTTGAGTATTGTTATACTTTTTATTATCTATCTATATGTGTTGTATTTTTTGTTGTTCAAATACCAAACTTCACCTAGGAGGGGCAATTAAAAGCTTTAAGCAAGCATTTGGCCTCTTTTTCTGTCAAACTGCTGCTGCTTGTGAAGTTTTAGCTTGCAACACAAATCCAACAAATAATTATTAAAAAAAAAACAACTTGAAGTTGTAATTCAATTCAGTCAGGAATACTGACCGTTAACAACACCAACTCCCACGCTGCTACGTCGCGTGCTCATGGGCAACACGTGGAACCACTCATCCGTCTTGGCGTTGTACGCCTCAACGGTGGACAAACCTGTCAAGATGCACAGCAACAAGTCTGAGCCACAAAAGCCTCTGCCAAGGCAGAAAAATGTAAGATAGAGGTATACGAAGATGCACAACTTGGCCATTAAAAAATAAATAAATAAAATGAAAACTCGGACAACAACAAAAAACAAATTTAAATTAATTTTGGTTGGAAAAAAGTAACAAAAAAATTTAATTATTTATTAGGAAATGACTGATTTTTTTTAAATGGGTAATTGTAAATTACAGTACATCTCAAGTTTTTGAGAGTATAACTGCAATTTACAATTAAAAATCCTGAATTTGTTTCCAGTCAAAACATTTAAAAACATTTTTTTTTTGATTCAAGACAAATCAAAAATATGTAGAATTGTAAATCATGAAAGAATGAAAAGTATAACTGTAATTTAAGCTTAATAAAACTAAACAGCTGTATTAAACATATATAATAATTAAAATATAATATTTACAAATTAAGTTGTAAAAAAGTATGTATATAGCTGTAGTATTTGGGGAAAAAGCACAAGAAATAAAATGACAAAATAATACTAATCCACCTTGTGTAAGGAACTTACATATTTTTTTTTAAGTTAAATTAAATTGGAAAAAAATATGACCAAAAATTGTGATACCCGTGCTTCCATCGAAGCCCCCGACGGCGTACAAAAGTCCATTGAGCACGGCGGCCCCGAGCGTGGATCGGCGGTCTTGCATGCTGCTGACACTGGTCCAGCGGTCCATCGCGGGGTCATAACAATCCACCGTACGCACGCGCAGGGAACCATTGAAGCCCCCCACGGCGTACACGCACGTGCCCACGTACACCACGCCTGAAGGCAACACCACGACATAGGCAAATATCCCTTTGCACATGGAATGACACATTTTAAATTGAATCCAAAAATGTTTGAACGAACTCGGCTCCTAATTCGTGTTTTGTATTTCATACATTGATTCTCTGAACCTTTTGATGATATTATGGACGGTTGATGATGAAATCCCTAAATTCCTTGTGTTGAGGAACGCTGAGGAACAAGGAATCATACGAGTGTGTGTGATGTCAACCACGAAAAAATAATAATCAACCAGAAGTAATAAATTCGGCATAATTAGCATTGTATCCCTTGTTGCACATAAGTAAGATATGATGATTCATGATTATTAGCATTAGCCTGTTTAGCCTCTTACCGGCTCTGCACCGGCGGGTGGGTAACTCGGCCACCTGGTACCAACGCTGCTCCTCAAAGTCGTAACATTCAACGCTGCGGATGGCCTTGGGCGCCTGGCCGCCGACCACCACCATCACCTGAACAAAAGCAGCAAGGTGGCGCTGGAACCGTTTCGTCTCCCCAAAATGTGAAGATTAAACGGGTTGATTTGGGACCTTCGGGCAGCAGGCGGGGGTCCGCATGCGCGTACGTGCCGTCTTCATGAGCGCTCGCTGGTCAGCGGGCAGCAGGTGGTACTTCATGGCTTCGATCAAGTAGTCCTTACATGCGCTGCTGTTCTTGATGAGGGACTCCTCCTCCACGCGCTGACGTCATAAACAGAGTGTCCGGTCAAGTAGCGGTATGCACTTGGGGGAACTGCGCATTGACTGTGGTGGCAAGACCGTAATACCCTCGCATATGGGCAAGGAGAGCCAAGGAGACGGAACAAATGAATGACCTTCAAATCCCATAGCGAAACAACACAAAAACTCCTTATACAATTAAAAACCTTTGAAACAAAACACATTTAATTTCAAACCACGCATGCAAAATGGAGCAAGTTGTCACGCAAGCGTAAGAAGAAGTTAACTACTGGGGTGGTACCTGCACCAGGTATTCTCTGGTGAGCAGGGGCAGGCGCACGTGCTCCATGAGGTGGGCCAAGTGCTCCTGTCGCACATCTTTGTCGTGGTTGACCCACGCGATAACCGATTCAAAGACCTACGCGTTCACAATAACAATATCAGCTGTGTCGCCGTGCCAGTGCACGTGTGCCGAAGTTGCACGCAGGTACCTTCTCCTCAGTGGGAATGGTGAGTTTGTCACTGGCGATGAGGCTGGAAACTTGCTCCATGCCAAGATTGAGGAACTCCTCGCTGGCAACCACCTCGGTAAAGTGTTGCTCTGAAACAACAGCAACCATGCATTACACACCACAAGCGACAAATAAATGCCTCCCCTCAAATAGTTCCTTTTCGCCTATCAGAAAAAAAAATGGGCAAGGCAGTTTCAGTTTACAGAGCGCATTTCACACACAAGGCAACTCAATGGGCTTCACACAAGGAATGACAAAAGCATTTATAAACGCAACAGTTAACATTCAAAAGCAGAAAAAAAAATAAAGTAGCTTACAAAAATTACAAGCTTATCTTATTCCATTTGTGTGCAGCATTAACGGCAAAATGCAGCTTCACCGTGTTTACTTTGATCTCTCTCTCTCTGTGTGTGTGTGTGTGTGT